AACAACAACAACAACAACAACAACAACAACAACAACAACAACAACAACAACAACAACAACAACAACAACAACCCAACAAACAAACAACCCAACAACACAACAAACAAAAAACACAGTAAAGGCGTTGCGCATTTGTCAAAATCGCTCCCTGGACAATTTTGACGGCCGAGCGAAACGCACACGTGTGTTATTTTAATGGAGCCGATTTCTGTGTCCGTGAAAGTGAAACGCATGAACGCATCGTGTACGCAGCGCACCCCAAAAAACGTGCACATAGAAAGGCGCCGTAATGCGTTAAACGCAAACAGTTTCAATGGGGGTCATTAACCTTACAGTGCTGGAGTTGGGAGTCCACCGCCCTCACACTGTCTTCTTGGAAAAGACTCCCCAAACGGTGTGCATTTGACCCCTCACGAAATTTGTTAATTATTAAATTGCTCTGCTTGTTGATTTTTTCCCCTATAATCACATTAAGGTCAGGGGTTAAAGGTTTCGAGAGATGGGGGATTTTGCTAGATTTACCCCTTATTCTCACATGCACTGATGGCATCTTTATTAAATGTATTGCTAACCACTGCATTAATTAACGCTATGCACCATCAAGTTAACATCAAAACATTTCATTTGGGGTGTGTAACATTAAATGTTTTGCCATGGGCACCTCACCTCAAGAGATTACAGTAAAGTACGTATTAAAAATAATTGTGATCAGTTACCTTTCGGCAACTCGTACATGCCAAGCAATAAAACAAAGTGAAACCAGACTAGATCATACGAATGTCACTGCATTATGTCCATTGGGTTTTTGGAATGGAATGCTCTTGGTTTGTCGTCTCCGCTGATTTAGAGGCCTAACGCGGTCAAGTACTTGTCATGAGACAACAGACGGGGAGCTTATCAGGTTAGGAAGATACATCGAGATTTTTGTGCATACGCTGGAAGAAAGGAAATGTGGCGTCATTTTTAAAGGGGGGCAACTTGTTGAGAATACATGATGATAATTACCTTGATAATTTAACGTTTTACGTGGATCCGATTGTTCAAACACAGCCAGTATACCCTTATAAGGGTGTTCAATGTGATGATGTAAAAAACACAATTCATGCTGTAGGTGGTGGAGTGGATGATGGAACGCACAACAGACTGGAAGGAAGAAATTGTGTTTGGATATGCCCGATGTGTGATATTATGAATATCTCTGATACATTGTTTAACTTGTCCTTGGAAACTGAGACACCAAACCGGTATTTGGTTCTGGAAGCTGATGTTGTTGTTGTTTTGTTTTAATGGCACTTTCAGCAACTCAGGCTATTTGCGCCAGTAACTGTACGTTTATTCATACACTTTATTAATCAGCATCACATTACGAAGTTAGGAACAAGGTCAAGTTTTAGAGGCAGGAGGAACCCGGAGTACCCGGTCTGGAAGCTGATGATATAAACCACATAACATAAACATAAACCCACCCTCTAAATCTTATGATATGGGGGGGGGTGTCCCAAGCAAGGCAACTAAATCCCAAGGCAGGAATTCGCTAAAAAAAATCCTGGTGGTGAATTTCCAGAGCATCAGAAACAAAACCTCTGAAGTAAAGGCACTTTTGGATCAGTATAATCCTGATATTGTATAAGGGACAGAAATCTGGCCTTCGCAGGATATTAATAGTACAGAAGTTTTTCCGGATACTTATGATGTTTATCTTGTAGAGACAGACAGCATAGAATCCATGGTGGTATATCGATCGCAAGTAAAAAGGAAATTATTATAACACATGAAAAGTTTGAAGAGGGGTAGTGAACTAATGTTGAACCAAACTGGACTGAGACGACGGCACTCACTCTTAGTAGGTACTGTCTACAAGCCCAGACATGTTGATAAACAGTCTGCATTGGAACTTGAGAGTTCATTTGAAAAAATATGCAATAAAGGCAAATATGCAATAAACGACCTACCGGATCACATAAAGTGTAAAGCGAGGCTTTTTACTGGTGATTGTCTTATGCATGTACACCGGTTTCCAGTGCAGAGAATATGAACTCTTTACAAGATCTCAAATCCCCGGAATCATGGAAACACAAAAACCATGGCAAATGAGCTTCGATCAACCAACTAAATTATGGTCATCTCAAATAAAAAGAAACCGCCCACGAGGGACTACATTTTGTGCCGACAAACGCTTTGTCATGCAAGTTCACAATCATACCTTGGAGTCCGCTTAATAGTAAACTTTTGTGGAGGGAACATGTGGATAACACTGCCACTGAGGCCAACCGGACATTACGATTCCTGAGGAGGACCTTTGGTTCTGCGACAAGGAAGTGGAGACACATATAATGTAAGTCAGACCTATTTTGGAATGTGTTACATGCTCCTGGGACCCTTATAAAACCTGCCACATCAGTAAACTTGAAAGGGTATAGAGGAAAGCAGCACGGCTTTGCTTCGGAGATTACAACAGAGGCAGCGGCATCACCCAGGTGGAACAGTTGGAAACAAGAAGAGCGAGAGATAGATTAGCTATGTTGTAGGCCTACAAGACTCGGAAGGGGATGATGGGAATACAAGTGCAGATAAATATATTACTTACCGGAAAGGAGAGCAAGCAGGACTGAGACTTCAACTCATTCTTTGTAAGATCTTCAAGGGAATGGAATAAATTTGATAACGACATTGCCAAGTCAACACCATTAGAGAGTTTCAAGGGGGCACTTCCAGCACGACAGTACGCACAACTCGCCCAAGTACGTCAGCGATATGCAGAGAACTGCTCCGTTGACTACAACTTCATAAACAAATTCCGAAAAGTCAAGATTGTATGGGCAAGATGCGCAGAAAAGACCCTGGTTTAGTCTAGAGGGCGCTCGCAGTGCAAGTGATACAGCAAAAACAGTTAAGCTGCAGTAGTTAGCGACGCGCGCGGTGACCGGTGGTTCACAGGCTACTGTAATTACGCAGCATTTTTCGGTGGCACTGCGAGGCCAACAGCAGCGGTAAAATGGCCGATTTGTTTGACATATTGCCGTCCGAGTACGGTTATGTAGTCTTGGTGGTGTTGTTCAGTTGGGTTGTGGTGCAGTGGATGGCTGTTAGAGTCAGTTCTGCTCGCAAGAAGTACAAAGTTGAGGTGGGTAAAAAACCCGTCTCGCCCCGACCCGCCATGCCGGCACGGCAGGCCTCGCCTGCGCCCCGGCCCCGGCCCCGCCCTAACTGTGGGTATATTTTGTCGTCCACCGCGCCGTCCGTGGGTACACGGCAGACGAAGCCCGCCTCGGCTGTAGGGCCGGCCTGTTCGTGTGCTCCCATAGGCCGACCCCTTCTGCTAGCCCAGGTCGACTCCGGCTCCCTGACCGTACTACGTTACAGAGAAATGGCGTCCAACCTGGGCTACCCCTTCTGCCCCAGAACCAGTGGTGTAACTTGGGAGTACATGTACATTTTACTTCAGTTGTGACTTGACTACCTACTTGTACGTGTCTGACTCAAATGAGTCCCGTATATGAGTATGACAAGTGTCTCTTATCAAACCATTCAGGTGTGCTTTCATTTGTATTAAATTTCCAAGTGACTAAACTTACTGGTACTTGTTTTGTGAAAAGTAACACATTAACGGGTTCCTTAGTCCACGCTTCTCTGTTTTGGTATTTAGATTTGCATCTAGGAACTGTTCGTACACAGTGTACATCTAGGCTCAGACTTCGAACATAGACTTCTTGTATGGCATTAATAGTAGGTACATGCATAATTGACTGAACACTACACTAGCAATAAACACATGTACAGGTGCCGCTGTGATGACAAATCAATTAACAGAATGCAGAGATGAAGAAGTAAAATTCACGTTTAACATCCTATGTTTGATTGTAGTACCCAGCCATGTATAGTGACAACAACATGTTCAACTGTGTTCAACGGGTCCACCAGAATACGTGAGTAGTTTGTGTAATACATCAGTGCACAATCATTCTGTTACATCCCAACTGCGGCCTCGATCTCAACCATACTTGGACCGTAGTTGCCACCGGCCCAGCTATAGTTTGGGCCGGTGGCTATAGTTTGGGTGTAACCGTTCTGACCAGAATGTAATTGGATATATTGAAATGTCACGGGTCTTCAGCAATGGATGTTGGGAGTCTTGTATTTTCTAGGTCCACGTTTACTAAATTTGTGATAATTTTATGGAATGAATTCCACAAACCGAAAGAGTAGCATGTGCTACTGTTGTTGTAGGAGGGTTGATTTTTGGCTTTACCCGGTACCCAATGCGATTGATCTGTGGTCACGATGTGCTGGTTCAGTGCTGTAAGGTGCAGTAGGTCAATCTTGGCATGATTGCTGGATCTCGCTGCTTGATTTATTGATGATTTCACTATCAGCCGATTGCACTTTCTTTCAAATGCACAGTTGTTGGAAATTATTTCAGAAAAGGGAAGGTGTGGATTTCCCCTCGAAAAGACCAACAGTTCAAAGCAAGTTTGCCGTCATGTCAACAGCTCTGAAATTCTGAGTGCATGGTATTGAATTGCCAAGGTGTAACTACATGTACAATTACAGGAAATGGTAATTAATGCAAAATTGGCATATTGATTGGAATTCTGACAGTGAAGGCACCTGTCCCTTCAACCCATTGCATTTTTTGGTGTTGTTCGCTGAAAGAGGATGCTCATGCAAGCAAGTCAAACACTGACCACAATGCATGGAATGTGGTTGCCCTGGGAACACACCGCAGTAATCTAAAGTGCACACACTGAGTTCTTTTGGAAACTGTTCCTGGTGAATTGGGAGTGGGTGCTGTGGTATCGTTTCTTAATGCTCTCTTAGTGCCGCTTTTACGTGTGGGTGGGTGGGTCGATGAATGAGTGTTGCAGCAGACATCGCCAGAAGTACATTTCTTATTTCATTCACCTTGGATGTTTGAACATGGAAAGTCCGTTTAAGAAAGAATAATAACCATGAATTACAAACTATTCAAGTGAAACCATTTCACGCAATTTTGCGCAGAAGTGTGGTGTGCCATAGCAAATCTAGAAAATATCTTGCATTGCAAAAGTAGGTTACCGTTAACAATGTCATACATTCTGTATTTCATGAGTCACTGGTTCTCGGCTGGCTTTTGTTTAGCATCTAAATCTTCTTAGTTTTTGTTTGCTGTTTAGATAGGAAATTTGGCTCCAGGACGTCCTGGATTTTAGTTGTGCATTGGGTCAGATGCCTCACAGCACAAATCTGCTTTGCCCTGCTCCTTTTTAAATTTGCTGTTAACTTTTTTGCTGACAGTCAGTTGCCATTGATGGACAGAATATAAGGTGGAAAGGTTTACAGATTGAGGTGATGGCATTATGGGTGTTGAGGGGGCAGGGATGCTTGCACCATGCCCCTAGGGAAAAAACTGAGAAAGGGAAAACGAAGAAAAGGGGAGAGAGAGGTGAAACAAAAGGAGGAATTGGTATAAAAATCAACAGTTTCCTTGACCTCTTTGAAACCTTTGACCTCTTTGAATTGACCTCTTCCACCATTAATGCTTGTCAGTCCGCTGAGGAGTACTTTGTCCCTCCCCCGGCAAAAAATCTTGCCCCTTTGAAAAAATACGGCTGACACTCATGGATGAAAATCATGGCATAGACCAAGAATTATGCGTAAATTTAAAGTTGACCTTTTTTATTATCTGCTTTAACCAGATTGGAGGTCTTGGGTTACTTCATCGTGCTCCTCCTTCTCGGCGGACTGAAACATCCCGTAAGTTTGTCTTGGATTATTTGGGCCACGTACTCTGATGCACGGTTTCAACAGTGGCTAAGCCAGGTTGTATTGTTTCAGGGAGGGGGCAGATGTGAAAAAAAGGTGCTCAGCTACCGTGGTGAAAATTTTTTTTCTGATCACACGACTTCCGAAAACTCTAAAAAGGGAAGGCCCATTCCTAGTAAAGTAACCATTTCACTTGCCCTGTGCAGTCGGTGGCCATTACAGGTGTATCACAGAGCAGATTTTGTGTGCATAACGTGTTTTATTTTGTTTACAGCGCATTTCGGCCGTTTCCGGTCTTGTGTGGGTCGTGGGTCGCATCTCCTATGCTCTGGGCTACTACACTGGCAGTAAGTAATCGGTCATAAATAGATTCCACGTAAAAATGATAGGAATTGTGGATTGGGTACCTGATTAGTCTTCACCCGAATGTGTACAAATCTATGGCATATTTGTGTAAGATTGACAGATTGCTTAGATGTCCTTGATCTGCACCTGAGGTACTGGCTATGTGGGTACTTGACTTTTACCAACTGGGCCACATGCTCATGGCCTGCCGTTGACTTTTTACTACCAAAAGCCTCCATTTTGTGGAATGGTTGCATTAAAATTTTCCGCACTTACTAAACACATGTTCTGTGGATCGGTTCGATATATTGAAATACAGCATATGCATTTGTTTTATAAGTGAATGAAATGTAGCCAGTGCTCACAGTTGCTTGACATTTTGAAGATTTAAGATTTTTTTGTATTTTTTATTTCAAATTTCAGATCCAGAAAAACGTTTGAACGGAGCGTACGGTTACTTTGGTCTCTTTGGTCTACTTGGGACCACAGTCTCCCTGGCACTCAGCCTCCTGGGGTTTGTGTAGTCGGATAGCTATAAAGGTGTGGCATGGGTGTGGCAGTAGGGCGTGGCAGTAGGGCGTGGTTGAGAAGTCCTTCTGTGTTTCAATTTCAATGGAAACTTGGGGCTGTGATCAAGACAGGGATAGGTTTATCGACAAACCACAAATGGGTTTGTTCAGATGTAGTTTTGTATTTGCAGAGATGGAAATTTGAATTACCGGTTGATAAAAGTACAGAAATTGCAAATCCTCCTCTTACCATTTTTTGTAATCCCTGCTGGTTTTTGACATTTATACATAGGTGTGGGTGAATACACTTCATTTTTACAGTAAGACAAACTGATTTGGGTCATTCCTTGAGGGTGGGGCACAATTTGTGACAATGTCCATTGTTACATGGGTTCCATAAAAATGAACACCTATTTCCCTGCATGTGGATTCCAAGTTGACATTGTTATACATCTGGCAAGGCTGAATACAGAGGTGTGCGTTATTTTTACAGAGTAAATGACCTACTCTACAGGTCGTGACAGGTTGTAAAAGTTACCCATGTAACAAGGACACCGTCACAAATTGTGCCCCAACCTCATGGAATGACCCATTAAGAAAGTGATGTCAAACCTAGTCATGGATGTAGTCTGTGTGTGTAGTGCATAGTTGGTTTGTACTGAAGGATATGAAATGTATTCTTGACAAATTAAATCAGGTGACTGAATAATTTTGAAAGGTTTTCAAATAATGTTTTTACATCTGCTAGTTATGAGTGGACATTGTAGTGATGCAGTTTCTCATCGAAGTAGAAGAATATGCCAAAGGGGTGCATGTATATATTTTCAGTGTAGGTCATCGGAAGTTTATCGGTAACAGGTGCATGAGTTGATATGTAAATTTTGGCATTTGGGTGTTCTTTGAATCAAAAGAAACCAAAAGTTTAAATGGCTAGTGTCAATCTGCTTGAAGTTCAATTTTTTTACGGGTAAAATTAAATCAAACTGCCAATAAATTTGTAGAGTGCCAAAAATAAGACATGCCACGGAAATATGTCCTGTTAAAAAATTCTGCTAGATTCAAAAATAAAGGGACCTGCAAGGTCACTTCTGCCCATAAAAAGCTCAACGAATGATGCTCTTCAGCTAGTCCTGGAAAAAGTGTTTTTAGCTGTTCTTTGGTCAGGAGAGGCTCATTTCCTAGACTGGTGCTTGACTGGTCACTGATGTCGACAGTGGACAGAACTAATGCACAGTTCAGAGTATGGTCAGTGTGATCTTTTCTGTCTGATTAACCACAAGACGTTCAATTGATGGCAAGGTTCTGGGAGTGATTGTGGTTTTCATATTTTTGAATCACATGATTCCTTTTTGGATGAAGATAAAAAAATTGATACTGTTTACTGTATTTCTATGCAAGTTTTACTTCTTAAATTTTACCCTACCTAATGGTATTTACTTTAGGTTTTAAAATTGTAGCATTGTTAACCGAAATTTATACTCATTTGATAATGTTGTTTTTATCTAGACTGAACAAGTGTCACTGTATTTGTTCTAGTTGGAAGCCGAAATTAGTTCAGAATAAAGCATGGACACATGACAAAAGTTAACTGCAAGGATTCAATTAACTGCTTTTTGTTAATTGGCACTTTCTGCTGTCACCAACCTTTGCTCAATATTGAAACAAGTCCCAATTGCTTATTGCTTTGGGGGAGAACACTGAAAACAACATGTCAAGGGTCATAGGTCATTCATGGGCAAAGCCGGCCTTGCAAGGGGGGGGGAGCAAGGGAGCATGGACCCTGCAGGTGGCTAGTGCCAAATCAGAGACATAATTAGACCAACATGTGATAAGGCTTCGTGTAATTGTGTAGGTAATGACTGCATTGAGTAAAGAACAAATTTGTGGAGTGGGTTTTTTTTCATTTGACCCCCGCCCTGCTTTCCCATCAAACATCATCAGAATAAACATAAAATACAGTGGAGTACTACATCTTGTGACTATTATGTACCCATGAGTGGAATGCTCTCTCTCAGTTTTGAATCCTCACCCGTTGAAGTAGAACTGGAGAAAGAATCTGGCCTCATTTTCCACACAGAGCGAAGGAAACGGACCACACGTGGCAGTTCACCTGGGGTTAAACATTAATATGGACGCAGGCTGTCCACGTAGATCCATTCCATGGCCCTGTATGGAGACAGGAGTTTGCAGTACTGCATGCCAGCGATGCTCTGGATGGGAAACGCAGCGGGCGTGAGGAGAGCGACCGATGTCACCTGGAGCACATGAATGAAAATTGCAGATAAATAAAATACCAAGTCTTGGTGATGTTCTGAGCAGTGTTTGTTCATTTCAACATTGTTACAGGTTTCACAGGATTTCTCCTTGATACTTCCAAGTTAAATTTCCAAAATGCAAGTTGAAAATGGTGTGTTTACAGAGAATTACTTGGGAGAAACTGGTTTTAACAGTAAGAACCTGTTTCATCCAAAGTGATTTCTCTGTGAGATGCTTGCTGGTCTGTTTCTAAAAAGCTCTGCAATATTCCACAATGACTAGAGTCACAACCAGCATTCTCAACAGCAAAAGGGTGCTATGAATAACCCTTTTCTATCTCATATACAAAATGCCTACATGTGAAAAATGTTCTCCGATTTCATGGAGAGACCATTTATTCAACATCTCAAAATGCTGGTGTTTCCTGATTGGCAGCAATCTTTATCAATGGTGCTTACCTCCAGATCGCCATTTGGCGTGTAAGTCAGCCGTAACTTCTCCGACAACCAAGTGGAGCCCGTGAAAGTGAGGATGTCAGACTTGAATTTCATCTTCCGGCCCTGGTTGTCGTAGCGGCTGCGGGCTGTGGGAGATGCCTTGCTAAGAGCCCACTGGAGAGCCATCTGAAGGGTCAAAGGTTATAGGGAACCTCAGAAAGTTTTTGACCAATGCGGATGCCAACAAGGGATGCTGTTTTTATGTTCAGGGAAAAGAGTCTTCGCGAAACTTGCGACGATCAAAACACGTGCAGTGACTGTTTTGCTGCTGGAGTCATCTGAAATTAAAGGCCACACTTGTGCCTGTCTCAGAAAAGCAGGTGCTCTGCAAGAATATCATGTCTGATTTTAACAAAATTTGTGCAAAAATGCCGGCAAAAACTTACTAAAAAAGTTTTCTAAAAGCTACCAGTAAGTGGGTAGAGATAATGCCCTGTGAAGAGATACCAGGAAAAACGTTGATGGGGATGGCTGCTCGCCCTGGCTCATTTAGGATTAAACAAAACATGAAATTCAAGTTAAATGGGACAAAAAGGAGCATCACTCCCAGGTGCGGTTCTGGAGTCAATTGGGGAGGGGGGGATGTAGACTTTGCATAGCATGTCGCCTTTTTACTTTTGCTACTCCTCTTTCACTCTGGGAGTAAAATATAAACCTGTAGCATTTGGGGGGCTAGACAAAGGTATTGGGGCACCAGACAGCCCCCTACCACCCTGTACAACCACGCCTATCCACAAGAACATTACTGTGAGAATTAACACTTCATGGTGACTTTAAATCTTGGATTTCACTTGATATCTTTGATTATCCGGACTATGTCTCACCATGTTAATCTCTTTGCATGTCACTGTATCATTGTACCGTTCACCCCCCAGTACATCTCTGACTGCCTCCTGCCGCTTCATCTTGGCTGCTATCTCATTGGCAGACTGCTCCGTCAATGACACATCGGCGAGGTTCTGAGGGAACTCGGCCCGGGCCCTGGACTTCACCGTCACAATGCCATTCGCTTCCTTGGTGATGGAGGGTTTGGACTGGGCAAACTCCCTCAGGCCACTGTAGGCTCTGTTCTTCACAGTAAGACGACTGGCAAGGCTTTCTGGGACACTGATCACAGCTTCCTGCAAAGAAAAAATTGAACGTGCAAATCACTTTAAAAGCCCAAACAGAAATACCTTTGATTGTTCATGTAAGAATACTGACTTTCATCATATCTTGGGCATTACTTGGGCTACACATTTGTCTGCTAACAGCCTATGTAAAGCTACTGATGCAATTAATGTCGCAGAGTTCATCAAAGAAAGAAGCTTTTGAGCTTTAATTGGAGAGTCAAGTCAAACTTTAGGGGAACTCATAGTGTGTTTAGGATGTTAACTTATGATTACAGAGGTTTGCGGTAGCACCATGCAAGGATATCTCTTTTGCTTGTGTGGTTCTGAAAAGAACCGGCATGACCGGAGGGTACTCAGCTTTTCGGACGGTATGCTCTGTCCATCGTCAGGAGACTGCAGAGGCTCCAATGACGAAGCTGCTTCGTCATCTTCCACACCACATATACTCAAAAGAGATACCCTTGCCTGGTGCTACTGCAAACCTCTCTAACATGCCACCTTCACCATGGAAAGCCTATCTTATGGAGGATAATCAAAGCTGCATCCAAATTATCTGGCTATGACTGACAGAGGAACATGTGTCTATGGGAAGTGACTGTAGCCGCTAGCCACTGGCTTTCAATATCTCTGAAAACAGCCAGGGTGGACCCAGAATCAATTCTTTAAAGAACAAAAAATTTAGGGAATTTCTTTCTGTGGCTTCTCTGGAGGCAAGGCTAATTACTGTTACTTTTGGCATGCTTTGGTTTGGAAGAGGAGTGAAAAAGTCTCCAAAAATCATATTTTAATTTTTTGGGGGTTGGGATGGAGATATTGCCCTAATAAAACTCCTCTAGACCTGCCAAGGCCATAGCCACACCTTTCAGATTCAACCTTGCACTGTTTCTTAATCAAAAGGCTTCGTCTCTCACTTAACATCCAAGATTGGGTATCAATGGGAGACTTGGAGACACTGGTGGCAGCAGACATACCTGTCCTTTTTCGGTGTATTTCACATGCTCAGAACTATGCATGCATGCTCAGAACAATGCACACTTGCTCAGAACTGGTAAAAAGTTTCTCAAAGTCTCTCAAAGGAATAAGTTTACCTGAGAATGAAGCACCCACGGTGATGCCTCTCCTTCCTGTTCCATGTCCTTTGCAATTAACAGTGGTGCAAACAATTCTCCGGTCTCTTGCAAAACCTTCTCGATCCGGTCCTTCGCATCGGGCAGCGCTGCAAATGTCAACACGATGAAGTCGGCGGAGGCCTGACCAATCAGGTCATGAGCTTGCTCGAAAGTCAAGGGGGATGCAATGTCATTGGCCACGACGTTTGGGGGCATCTCGCCCGAGGCAAACTGGCCGTGGTTGACATCCTTAAGAAGGACGACAGAATAGCGGAATTGGGAGCCTGGATCGGTGGCTTCAAGGGCCTCCATCTCGCTGCAAAACACCAAAGTGAATCATTTCTGCTTTATTTCAATTTTCTAAATTGATGTCTAACAGCACGTATCCAAGTCTTAGGTCGGGGTGGGGGGAACAAAGACTTTCATCCTGAAAAGAATCTTGAACCCCCCCACGCCCTACCAAAGAAAGAGGTGGTATCATTTTAATATGACACTTTATGAAAAGTTTATGAGAAAAAAACAGATGTGTCTCAGGGAGACTTTCCCCCCGCCCCATTGGATACCACACCATCCATCAGTACACATTCAGTGTTTGAAAGCCCACAGCTACACAATTCTTATAGTAAGTTTTCTCAAGTTCAAATGTTTCTGAGGGACACTTCTTCACACTCTTGCATTTTATTACTGTAAATATAGACCTTGGATTAATTAACATTTAATGTTAATAAATCAAATTTCAGAAGCAGAAACAGGATTTGCTTTGGAGTGTTGAGAATCTGATAATCCTGGATGGGAATTTTGAAGACAGATGTAAATTTGGGCAACTGGGATGTGATTGTGGACTTCTGCATTCGAAGTGCTAATACTGCTGCCAAACACTGTCAATCTTTTTAAATGCATAATCCCTTGCAACAGACCAGTGGCATAACTAAGCTGTAATTTCTAAGGGGCACCCATGAGTGGACAGATTTCTAAGGGGGCACCAAAAACTGGTGAACATAAGCTTCTTCATAGGTTGTGTACATTTCAAAATTTCAAAGGGGAGGAAGCTTTATCAGGGAGGGAGCACAGAGCTCTGATAAAAAGGTTGTACTCCCTAGCACCCCCACAGTTACAAATTGCAGCAGAATCCCCTCTTCCCATGCGAACTACATACCTGTATACATCGGCAAGTCTTGTGAGGCGCGTCAGGCCGTCCAAGTCCCCAGACAGGTGCATGACTGGCACGGGGTAGGAGGCAAGCTGACGGTGGGCAGCTGTCAGGTACGAGCCCCAAAGGAGAAGGCCAGAGACCTGATTGGAGTTGGAGGCTACGTAGTTTTGGACAAACGTGCCTATGCATAGAACATAAAAATGGTGCTGGTGGCATTTATGATATCAGACACATGTAAGCATTATTTGGGGGCGGGCGAATTAATCAGGCCATGGCTTCCTCCAAACATTGCTCTGGGGAATTTACAATTTTTCACGCGACTTTTGGAACTTCTTACAAAGGCCCACATCAGTAAAACGATACCTTTCCAATCTTGATAAGTCATTTTTGCCTGAATGAAGGACTGAGGAGTCATTTTATGCTACAGAGCAACGTAAAAATTCTCACCCAATTGGCAGTGGCATATATACAGATTCTGTATGTAGTGGAAGGTTCATAAAAGTAAGGATTGCTAAATATTATCAAACCTCCAAGAGAATGGCCTGCCATGAAAGTAGGCACGCCGAACCGACTCATCCCCGCTGCCCGTAGGTCTGCCAGGGCCAGATCTATAGCAGCCGTCAGTTGCAGTGGGTTGGGAATGTCGCCCACAAATCCTGTTGCAATGCCGACCCACAGCTCGGCGGGTGCAAATTTCTGAATGGCCTCGGCCACGGGACGATAAAACTCGCCAGGGATTTCTGCCCCCGGTATGATGATCAGACAGAGCTCCGCTCCCTGGGAAATCGGCGGGAGGACGACAGTTGTCAGTTGGGCTTTGGCAGGGTAGGAAAAATACGCCATTGCTACCAGGATAGCAAAAAAAGAACAGTGAATGAGAGATGCCATTCTGAAAAACTTGAATATGTTAAATGGACCAATGGTGCCCTACTTTTGCACAGCAACAAGTTCCAATTACCAACTCTGCTCAACTGACGTGGATATTTGTATCCACATTGAAAATAGTCAAGTAATCTCCTCAATCAAATTAATCATTAATCTGCTGATAACTATAGTAACCAGGCTGGGACCATAGTGATTGATCTTCAATTTTTGTCTGGTTCAGTGTAACTTAATTGCAACATCCAAGTAGCCATACTAAGCCAATTCTGCACCTTGCAGCTCAAATTCCCGCCAATTTCCGAGCAAAGGTTCCAAGCCAATGTCATATTTCAATCACTATGCCCATAAAATGGTCGCATCATGAACTATTATCATTTAAAAAACTCTCAACAAGATGAATGAACAAAGGAAAACAGGGTTAGTCTAAGTTTCAGCTGCAGGAGTGGTATCCATGGGCATCATCGCTTTAAGGACATCTCCAAAACGTGTTAACGTTGCCCCACAAGTTCATAAGTCATTTTGATTTGAAATATACAAACTTCCTTTCTGATCATGAATCTGCCTGAGATCACCTAGAGTTTCCCAAAATTGGCTTCAAAAATTGCCAACTGTCAAGTTACAAGGGGCACATACCACTTACCCCACTCAAGGGCAGCATTTTGGGATGTCACAAGTTATGCAACATCCAACAGGATCTATCACAGTTTTGTAAATGGATGGCTCTATTCGGAGAACTAAATAAATGTTGTAACTTAAATATCAGTACGAAAGATAAACATAAAGATAAACATATGCATGCGGTTACAAAGAAATATATGCATAATGGAAATCACAAGAAATATGTTGATTACCTTTTGTACAAAGTCTCTCTGCTCAAATCACTTTCAAAGTTTGCCGAGCATTTTCTTTTCAAAAAGGCAAAAAAACATTTTCTTCTACCTTGAATCTCACTCTTACTCGGATTACTTTTACCTCTGCTAAATGTAGGGGAATTTAATAAGTAAAACCGTCCTTATCTTGATCATGAGGGGTAAGTATTCTAAGCACTTAATCTTCTTTTCTTTGTTGTATTACGAAAGGAAACGATGCACTGCTTCTGCTGGGAAAAAATAAAGAATGAACACATGTATACCTCATAAAACCCACAGTAATGAGTCTATCCTTGGGGCTTTGGAGGGAGAGGATGCTATCAACTGTGCTCAGGGGTAAACACAACGTGCGCCCCAGAAGTAATTAAGAAAACAGCCAACCAAAAACCACAAATGAAGAACAAAAACTACAGCAACAGTCAAAATGAAAACTCAAAATTAAAACTCACCGGCCCTTTCAAAATAATCTCAACCCTCCCTCTAACCCCCTTCCCAGGGATATAAAGAAGATAGAAACAGATAGTAACAACAGAACATAAAGAAAACCACAGATGTAATGTAGATTAAGCCTACATTACATTCTGAACAATGCCCAAAATCTTACAAATAAATTCTCACAGATAGTTAAGATAAATCAACATGCAAAATAACTAACACAAACAAGGACACCTGACTTGAAGGCCCTAAATCCACTTGTATCCACCATGGTACATTATGTTATTATAATTCATTAAAAGCAGCCTAAATTTCATAAACAGACATTAATTTAAAGAAATATCTCTCACTACTTATGAATTATACCTTTTTCTTATGCATTTCCTATGAACATGCATCATTGGAGCAAGTCTTTTAAATAAACCAATACAGTTTTGTATCTAAATTTTACTATCTTCAAAGTTATGGTTGACTTGATATCGGAAAACAATTTCATATATTAATGTTAAGTAGGCGACAGAAATTGGCACTGTAGAGAATATCTACCAACTGAGCTATCCTGCACTATTGTGCCAGTCTCCCCATTTTGTTCAGGACGTTTTTATGATGGACAGAACATTTTCTGTCAAATATGTCTAAAATTTAATACATACATTCCAGAAAAATAAAAATTCAACAAATCAAGCCACTTCCCAAAATGACTGATGCAAACTACACAAAGTCCAGTGGGAAAAAAAAAAAGAATAATAAATGTTTCAGCGGACAAAATATTTTGGAAGGTTGAAATTATATCTTGCTGAGTTCAAAAGAGAATCAAGTGAAGATCAGAGTGTACAGCATACGTGTACTCAGTTAATTCAGCAGAGTCTGTAAGCCAGGCCAGAGTGTCTCCTGCTTAAACTCTGACGAATCGGATTCAAGAAATCTACATCATCATCAGTAAGAGTAATTAACGTGTTAAAACGAAAACTCCATAAAGTCAAATTTCTCCTCTGTAGGTGTTTTTTTTTAACCCCTTCACGACGGATGACTGTAAGAGCCGCCGTAAAAATTGAGTTCCTCAGCCCACTTTTCAGTTATTATTCTCGGCCCATGCTCGAGCCACCCTGGCTCTTGTATATATGGTGATTGGCCTTTGTGTGTAGCCCAGAAATAAAAAGACCGAATTTGCATCATAATCACCAGCTTCACAATAATCCCCACTTTGAAAAGAGGCAATGGGAATGTGGAAGCGTGAGTAGAGCCACATGCCACCGAACAAGGAGTCTTTTCACTGTGTAAATCAAAGCTTGCAGAGCACGCAGGGCCAAAAACCGAGAATTTACAGTTTGGCAGGTGGCCTTCGTTACCAAGAGAGGCTGGAATTCTTGGTGTCGGCTCGGAGTTCCCGTCGTCAAGGGGTTAACTAATAATAGGTTATGACTTTCTTGTCATCATTCAGTACTTCTCATGAACATAAAGATGAAATCTGCTTGGAATGAGTATTTCTTCTGTGTCCTAGCTGCACACAGCAAGGTACAGTACTGTGCTGAGTAGCACGGCCAGTGACAAGGTTCCTGTCTGCGGAGGAGTGGAGGTGGTGCTGCAGGAGTGAGAGGCCGGGCCCAATCCCCACTGAGGGAATTAGAAGGGGCTTCGGCACATAGGACAGGTAGACTGGTTACTGGTGCTGAACCACTTGTACTATAAGAAAAAAAATGATCAGAAATCATTTGCTATCAAGAGGACTTGAAAAACAGTCCTCTACTTGCACCACCAGTCAACCGACAAATGAACCAAAATTGGTCTTGCTCTTATGTCCGCTCATAATCCAACTCTCGGACATAAAAGGCCAGATTTCACATACTCCAACCAGGCGTTATTGCAAGTCACCAGAGACGAAGTGTCACTGAATGGGAAAGTACCATCATCTTTTCACACTTTTACTCACACTGTTTAAACATGTTCATGGCGCCCTGTTACGAAACATTATAACACTCGAGTCCAGGTCATACAGGAGTGACAGTAGAATATGATGCCACTCAAAAATCACCCCCAGAAAATACATGACTGAAGGTTGAAGGTGGTATATCCCATGCATAGCCTACGCACTCCAAGGATGTCAACAAGGGCACGTGACAGGTCATTTGGAGGCAAGTGCAAGATCTGCCCTATCAGTGCCTTGCTCGTTTGAAATACTGAACTTGCTCATTCGTCAGTGTTTCCATGCTAACTCACCAGGCAGGCTGAGTGGTACCGTTTCTTGCAGGTCTTGCACTGCAGCTTGGGCAGGGAACAGTTGGAGCCATGGATGACCGAGAAGCAGATCATGCAGTCGTCCACCCCCTCAAAGCGCTTGTCAACATTGCGTTTCCACAGCGTCAGGCCGTCCATGATGCTGCCATTCTAGTTTGTGAACAAAGTACACGTTTTATGGAGTGACTGAGGGAGACTTATTAATGGGAGGAAACTTAACTTAACATGGTTCCTTCTTGGCGGTCATCCATGGTTCACAGGCTTCTAAATTGTACAGTGACTGAAAACTAAAGCCGGACACAGGTGCCTAAAATACTGATTAAGAATGAACTTTGACACACCAACTTTGTTTCTTGATCCTTATAGATCTTCTTTTCCACAATATTCTAGTTTCAAATGAATTTTAGGCTAAAAAGAAAAATCTGAATAAAATACGCTTGTGTCATCCTTTTGTAATGTCTTTTTTTAGTAGCCCCCAAGCTTGCATAATTTCAGGCTTGTTGGTGCAACCTTAAAACAAGAGAAAAAAGAAAAATTCGAAATGCTGAAGAGCAAACACCTTGTATGCACAACAACGAAAATTATTTAGAAACTGTTACGCTGTACTTGGTTGCGTAGGAATGTGGTCAGTTGTAATGTCCAGTTTCGCCATTGCGTGGTCCCCACCCCAACTTTTTTCTCGCTGTCCACGGCGATGATGCCTAGCGGGTGGTTGGCTGGAATGCGAACGGTCAGGTCCATGGTCAGATCCTGCATGGTGTAGGTGGCCACCACCTCGCGCGTGGCAGAGCGCGCCTTGACCGTCATGTTCTCAAAGGTCTGCGGCGCAGTCTGTACACCTACGACCTCTTGGGCTGCGAGGAGGGGGCTGGCATATTTGGTTGTGAACCTGCGTGAATGACAACGGCAATAAATGTACGTTCATACAGGGGTAATTCAAGATATTAGGGGTCAATTTTTTGTGTGTTCCTGTCACATCTGACATATGATTTTGTAAGTTCAGAACACAATTTCTAATTTCCAAGAGTGATGAATTAATGCGAATTACTGGTACCTGCCAAACAAACAGTAGTAGTTTGAAATCAATTCTGGTGATATTTCCATTTCAAATAACAAAGGTCAGATGTAACAGGGACACAAAAATGTCACACCTTTGGACCCCTGATTTCTGGAATTACCCACATAAGTACTTCACACACGGTATTCTGTGTGTGTGTACATCAGAGGTAGGCCAATTAATACTGTGAGGAGGGTATATCATTAACTACTTGCTGTCGGGAATCCTGTTTCGAGCACCATGGGTTTATACGCAGAGTAGGGCTGCCCAAAATGGGACAAAAGAGCTGGTCTGCGTAACAAAAGACCGTACTTGGAACAAAAGACCTGCTGCTGGGAATTGCCATCATTTTTTGGCTTTTTCGAAGGTAATCCGTCACTGTTTTAAACAGTATCAGTATACCACTGTTTTGGGCATAGCACGCCCACGGATTAGCACCACGGACAAAAGTGCTCCAGGGCCCCATTGATGAGTGACACAGAACCGCCGCATGCTAATCCAGCTGCATTTGAAAAGACGCCACTCTCATTCACAGGGGACAAAGGAGATTACGTAACACCTCACAATTCTGGGCTCTCCTTACAGGGGGGCAGGCCTGGCTGAAATACTCA